TTTTAAACGAAAAAATAACATCATTTAATAAAAAAAGAGTCTTCAACATTAAAAACTTTTTATTTGTCAAATAAATAATATTTTATTATTTAAACTATAAAATATTTTTTTTTTGAAAATAATTCCTTTGTTAATAATAAACGTCACAACTTGTAATAGTAATTTTTTTTAACTTTTTCCCTCGAGGCAATGCTTAAAGAGATAACATTTATCACATAACTGTGAATATTTGTTATTAATAAACATTATTAACTTTGTCGAATCAAAACAAACCCCTTCTTTCGAGACAAATAGAGAATAAAAGCAGTTGAATTTGTTGTTAAAGGGCAGCTAAAATAATTGAACCATTATATCTCAATCAGTAGGGATTGGGGGTCAAAGCTGGGCCAACCTGTACCTGTTATCTCTAGCAAAATGTGGATCAAATTACTAGCTAACTTATCTTGATTTTGTAGTCACGCCATAGATGTATATAGTAGCTTCTTTTTTTCTCATTTCTTTTCTTTTCTTTTTTCTTTTTTCTTTTTTATTTTTAAATAGAATTTGGTTGACATGATTTGAAGGCACTATTAGTTCTTTTGTCTATATACATAAAGCGAGGAAAAACAAAAAAAAGTAGAGGCTCTTGGCTAGGCCAACTCTTCAATCAATCATTCAGTGTAAAGGAACAATGCCTTTTCAGTTTAATTTTATAATTTAATTAATTGCCTGCCACCCTATACACACGTCAACAAGTTGAGTTGTTTCCCTCTTAACCTCATATATTAACACCTATTTGATCGATAATAAGATGGCATAAGCGAAAAATCAAGAGATTAAGAGCATGATTAATTTGAAAGGAGAGGAGAGGAGATAAGATTATTTCAATTAATTAAATTAAATAATTAATTTAAAAAATAATTCAGTTAATTAAAATAGTAACCTAATGTTCAAAAAATTAAAATAATAACCCTCCCTCCTCTCACTTAAAATCAAACAAATTGTAAGAAATTATAAAATTCTAATAATTGTTTATATAAACCTTTTTCTTATAATATTATCTTGTTTGACAGATAGAAAAAGATTTTCTTTTATAATGGAAGAGTCAGCCTCCAGAAAAATATATGAGTACTTCTGTATTTTGTGGATACATAATCACATTTGCTTCTTTTTTTTCCCCCCATTTTATTCACGAGAAAGCCAGATATCTCTATATCGTTCTCATGGCTCATATCACATTCCACTACAAGATGATAAAATAATCAATGTAAAATGTTCCACATTTTTTATGCAAATTCATGTATATAACACATATATTCAAATATGTATAAACAAATAATAGTGATCGATATATATTTTAATTTAACACATTATATAATATATTTTTAAAATTAAAAACAAACTAAAAAATGTAATAATATATATAAGATGTAAGAACTTATTAAATCAGTTATATTTATATTATATTTTAATAACTGAACTAAAATAAATGTCAAAAATTATATTAAACTAAATATATACCAATTATTTTTCATAAGCTTATATATTATGCACTCCTTCAGCCTATTTTACCTTTGCTTGACTTTTATATATAGGATACAAATGACAATTCAAATAAAATTCATCAAATAAAACAACTCAACAAGAATTACATATAAAAAAATATAAAATAAAAATATATTATATGAGATTAATGCTACCATTAGGCCTATGATTATTAAATTAAACATAAAAAATGTTAAAAGTTCTCATTAAAAACAAACGTATGGATTTCATGAGATTGAGGTTCCTTGTATGAAGTGAGCACGCAGCAATTAATCACCGTGGGATAACTCCAAAAAACCAAGAAGCTCTAATGAAGTGATTTCAAGGAAACCCCCGCCTCTTGACTGCGGTGGTAGCTAGGACCAAGAACTTAACCACAATTAATGAAGAATGTTAAATTATGTAAGCAATGACATCAATGCATATGAATACGGATATGGACTGAATTCTATCTCATATATATCATCACAAATGTCAAATTAAGGCTCTAATAAAACCATAAACATGTGCCCAGCAAAGTACCCTATTCTACTGATCAATATGCTTCAAAGAAGCATGAAAGCCTGCTCAAGATTTTCAAAATAAAGTGTAGGAACACAATCCCACAAACAAAGGGATGGTGCGCTCGACATTTATTGTTTAGGTAGAAAGTGGACTAAAATCAATAAGGTAGTTGTTTTGTAATTTATTCTGTAGATTACATGTTTGGTAACTATTAGTAGAGAGAAAACCATCGTAATGCAAGGGATTTGTTCCTTTATCATCAATAGTGATATGAAATATAATTTGTACATGATGAATTACATGGATTTTTTTAATCAGCATTCATTTTAGTTGATTAATTTTTCCCCACGAATATATTATTTTCAATTAATAATTATAGGTTTTCATTAATAAATTAAAAGCTATTGTTAAGGTTTGAACATGTAATTTTTAACCTTAAAATAGAGTTAATATTTATTTTAATATACTAACTTAGTTAAGATGATCTTGTCGATTTAAGTAGTCAAACATCAGCTTGAGGCAGCCCTGGCCTGCGGGGTTAGTAAATGAATGGAAGAGCCTGCCCAATACTTACACCTAACAAAATAATACTAATTCATATAAAGTGAAAAGGAATAATGCTTCACAAGAAGAATTAAAGCAGAAACATCTTAAAAGCATACAACCAAGGTTCCCAAAATTTAAAGTTAGATTACTCCGTCAATCCTCTCAAGACAAGAATTATCCACTCTAAATGCAGCCTTGATTGAAGCCTAATCAATGGTCACCCCAAGCCGCGACAAATGCTCCGCGATGACATTCTACCCTGCTTTTCATTTCTTTAATCAGGATTTACATCTAATCAAATTGATCTCACATCAATTTTTTTAATGTGTGACATGGACACTCACTTAACATAAAAAAATTCATTTTAATTATCTTGGATCGTTCTGATCACCAAAGTTAGCTAACTTGGTTTTATTAGAATAAAGAATTTGGAAAATGGAATTCCTTGTTGAAA